AGTGCCTGTCTGCAAACTTGTTCTGTGCTTCCTCTGGTCTCCCTTGTCCAGAGTAACTTTCATGTGAGAGTTGATCAGATTTTCAGATGAGAAGTTGAATTTTTTTAGCGTCGGAGCTGCAAACTCCAACTTGGAGCGTGAAAAACGCAGCTCTGTTCTCAGCTCTCTTATTTTCACTGGTAACAGAGCTGCAATGCTTAAAACGGAGCTGACAGCGTTGCTGCTGATGTGCCAGGCAGAACCTGACATTCAGCGTTGTGACGTTCACTGCTGCTGCTAGAAAAGCTCAAAGCAGAAACAAACAAAACCAAACTGTACACATAGCAAGGTAGAGACCAAAGCTGTCACTGCTGCAAAAACCGAGCTGGAGAAGCAGTGCTTCCTCCTCCTGCCTGCCTCGCAGAGGAGCCTCTCGCAGCAGGCGGGCTTTCGTCTGTGCATCTCCTGTAGCTGCTAGATGTGTTTTGGAGATGCGCAGGACTCTCGCTGTGGTCCTGGAGGCAGTGTTCACGCTGCCTGGCCTCTGGAGAGGAAGGTTTCATGCTGCCATGGCACTGGTTACATGCAAGAGGGCTCAGCAGTGCGTAAGTACCGGGTCTTCTCCAGTCATCATGAACATTGCTGAGTGCAACTGTAGTGACTTTGAGACACGTATTGCTTCTCACCACTGCGTCTCCTTGCTATGTTCTGACTTTTGTCTCTCTGGACCCCTAAAGAAGTGTAATCGCAATAACCCTGAATATGTCTGACTTACAAATCTGTCTGGATAGAAAGGAGATGTGGGATTCATTCCCTTCTGTAGGGTTGATAGCACCTATCTCCAGCTCTCTGGAGGCGAGCATCACACGTGGTACCTTTCAGTCTGCCAGGATATGTTAGAGAAGCTATTGGCCAAGCTCTGGATGCTCTGGGAGCTGTTCTTCATCTATCCCACAGCTGTACTCTTACGGTCCCTGCCCTGGGGAAGTGAGGGAAGTTGCCAAGGCTGGCCAGTTCACCGTGATGTCCCTTGGCTGAAGTATTGTCCCTGCGTATTCCCTTTCTGGCGGTATCGTGGCTGTTTCTGTGCCTAAGATCCTCTCTGGAGATGAGAGCAGTTGTTTCCAAAGCAGTTATTTGATCTGGGGAGAAGTGATTTGCTTTGGGTGCAGGGGTTGCGTGTTCCTGGGGACAGCTGGCATTTGTTTGGGTGATCCTGTTCTTCTGACCGTCTTTGTTCTGGCCGACAGCTAAGCAACCAGGAAGCCTGGGGTTGATTTAACTTTGTGTACAGGATTAGCAACAAACAGTTGCCTTCCAGACACGAAACGGGACACTAATAAAGGCAGTTGCCTTTATTAGTCCAGCAGGCTCTTCCCCCTGGTTCCACCAAGTCCTGCTGATAATTTAAACTGTCCCTGATAACCAGCCTAGGATCTTAATCCAAAGGTTGAAAATGTTTTTGATCAGCCTTTTGAGCTTTCCTGGGATAAGGACTTGCTCCTTTGTTGCTGCAGGTGGTTCCTCCTCGATTTGCCCTGGAGCTGTTAGGGGAAATGAGTGAGCCCTCCCTGCAAAGGGAATTTCATTGTTTCTGTCTCCTGAGAGTTTTTGCTTGGCTTGGGGAGGACTCCAGGCTGGTCCTCCCTGGCTGGCACAACGTTTTAACACATAGGCGGAAAGTCCAGGTACCTAACTCTCTTCCTACCGCCGTCCTTCTTGGACGGCTCACCAGTCTCCCATCACGAGCTTTGGTCTGCCGGTGTTATTTCTTTTACCGTACCACAGCCCATATTCAGGTCCTGCGTGACGCTTTTGACCTGTGAGCCGAAGGGCATGTTATTCCTTGGAAATGGAGCTTTCTAGATGTTGCGGCTTCACCCCCCGAATCCTCCCATCTCCTCTCCGTTTCCTCCATAGCTTTGCACGCAGAGAGCCGGGCTCGCAACAGAGGGACCTGGATCTTCTGTCCCCGTTTTCCATGCACAACGGGGGCTGTTCCTGCATCGTGCTGCCGCAGCTCAGCCTCTGAGATCTGGCCTGTTATTAAGAGAGTCCCTGAGTAACGCAGCGATCAGATGAGGAAGGAGAAATCAAAGGGAGCCGTTAGGAGGCTTTCGACAAGCTGTGCTTTTCTGCATTGAGGTCAGCCTGGTAATTACAGTGGGAATCCGCGCACCGGATCTGCCACCTCCGAGCCACGGTCTCCTCCTGCTGGTGCGAGAAACAAAGCCTGGACGGAGGCGGCTGCTGCCCTCCCTGCAAAGGCAACGGGAGAGAGTGCCTGGCACCTCGATTGACACGGGCGAGTTTTCTGTTTTGCTACATTTTTATAAGCTAATATTAAGCCATCAGTTTAATTCGAAGCTGCTCCCTGCCCGAGTCCATTTGTCTTCTGCATTTTTTTTTTATGACCCTGTCTGCCTGTCTTTTTCTTATTTCTTGTACGATTCTTGGCACTGGCTGCTCCGGCAGCTTGCTGGTAATAGTAACAGCTCTATTGTAGCAGAGACGCGTGACCTTTAGCTAACTGCAGTGCAATAGCTGCTTCAAAGGCAGGCAAAGGCTGAAGACCTGGAGCTCTTCCTCGGAGCACGAGAGACCCAGCATCAGGGATGAAGGCGTTCGGTGCGTTGTGGTCTGAACGCGGAAGCTCTGTCTCAGCTTCAGCCCTGCCAGAGAGCCAGCCTGTAGCATGTAGCCTCTCTCCCGCCTTCAAAATACACTAGAAGCGTCCTTGCAAAGGGTCTGAGAGGCTGAGTAGCCCTTTCCAGGGCAGCCAGCGCCCAGGTGCAGCCCAGAGGTGGGGAAAGGCATGTTTTCGGGTGCATGGAGGCACAGGGTGGCAGCCCTGTCTACTTGCACTTGTGCTTACGTCAAGGGTTATTTTATTCTTTGTATTACACCAGGTCATTGCTGAAAATCTCTCAAGCAGCCCGGGGTGGCTAAACTCTTCTTGAACATTAGAGGAGGGCCTAACTCTGCCTCCTTTTCTGGCTTGTGGACAATATGAGCTCCGTTGTTTGAATGGCAAAATCATGGCTTTGGGAGCCGGCCGGCCAGAAGCACCGTTGCCCAGGAGAAGCTCACATCAGTGCTGCCAGGAGCTGGCCCCGGCGTCCTTGCTTGGCTGCGCGCTTGCTGCTGACCTGCAGCAAGGAGGGATGCGTAGGCCATGATCTTGCAGAGCCCTACTGTTTTTTATGCTGGGATCTGACTGCATGTAGATTTTCTACAAGTTATAATAAGCTGATGCAAGAACCACAGGGCACCCCAGGAGCTCTCTGTGAAGTCAGCAGAGGCCTTAGAGGCAGCAAACTGTGCATTAAAAGAGATCCAGGAGGACATCAGCCACTTCTCCAGCCCCAGTATCAGCCTTACCCAATCTGTCCTGCGCCGTATCTGATGGACTTGCTTTGCCCAGAGTCTCCTGTCTCCACGCATTGCTCGCAGGAGGACTGGCCTTGTGTCGGTCCCTTTCTAGCAGCAAATACAGCTACCATAACACTGGCCATGAGGATGGAAATCCCTGCACAATGCCGGCGCCGGAGGGCTGCGCTGAGGACTAGGAGTGGCATCAGCTGGCCCTGAGAACCTGGGGTGGCCATTCACATCCAGAAAGAGAGTTGTAGCCTAGTTCTTTCAGACAGAGAAAGGAATTTAGCCATTTATAGTCCTTGAAGAAAAAGGCATGATGCGAGAGGTGTGTGGGTGGTGAGACCAGGTGGAATTCGTGATTCAGAGGCCCTGGGGACAAACAGGTCCTTTTTCCAGGTGAGCTGAAAGACTGATGCTGCAGCGCAGGCAGTGCGATGGCAGAGAAGTGTTTAAATAAATCAGCACGTTAACCCAAAGTGAGGAACACAGGAGAGGTGGAAACTGAGAACTGAAATAAAAGGCCATTAAGGAATAGATGCAATATAAAGTGAAAGGATTAATGGAGCAATTGCTGCGAGTGAAATGCAAGTGAGGGTGAGGGGAGGAAGCCTGGCGGAGTTAGCACCTGTGGCCAGGGGAAGATGCTCATAAGTAAGACAGGGTTGGCATGGACAGCCTGGCGTGCCCTTCCCGAGCTGCGTTGCCATCACTTCAGGTTACATCAGTCGCATTTCATTTTCCTTGTGCCACTGGTTAGACTGGTCTCCTCGGCCCCTGTCTGTCAGGTATGTGGCTGCAGAGCTGAGACGTTTGCTATGCCTCCGGACGGGCAAGCACTTGGCAGCGTGCCCACCGGGCCGCGGTGGAGGGCGCGTTTCCATGCTGGCACGAGGCCGGCGCTGCAGGCCCCGCTCACCTCTGCTGCTGCCTTCTTTGGCAGGAGCACAGGAGAAGATCTGCTGGTGTCTAACTGGCCAAACGCTGCACCTCCTGGTGCCAACCCCATGGAGCTGAGCTGCTGCTTCTTCCTTAGCAGAGCGACCCAGGGCCAGGGCTGCCAGCTCCGTGGGGCTGGGGCGATGCACGGTCAGGGTGGCAGCGGGGCTTTGGCTGTCCTGGCATGCAGAAGGCAGCTTTCCGCTCTGCAGGGTGGGAAGGAGCACAGTGTCCCAGGTGGAAAGTGCTGAGCGCCTTCACACCATCCTGCCTGTTTTGGTGGCAGCGCTGCAGTCCTGGGAGCACCTGGCTCCTCCAGGAAACGCCAGCTCTGCCTTGCGTTTAGGCACTGCCTGTACTTAGGGTGGCTCGTTTGCGTTGGGAAGTACTCCGTAGAGGATTGCGTGCTCGTGCTGAGGACTGGAGCCAAGCCTGCCTGCACCTCGCACGGGCTGAGCTCTCGCTGGCAGGACAGGAGGTGCGTGGCCACGCACCGCGTGCACCCGGGGCACGTTTGCAGCTGTGAGCTGTGCTCAGGGGAAGCTGGGGGAACTTGCTCCAGGGACGAGGCTGTATTTTACCTGGTGTCTCCTACATTTCTCATTAATGTCTGCTGCACTGTGTTGGCCCAGACAGACCTGTGGTCTGTCCCCCAGTGGCACATTTCCATGTGGTTTTTGACATACATTTTTGTTCTTTTCCTGCAGCAACCCCAAAGTCCAGATAGAAGCAATCGAAGGGGGTGCGCTACAGAAGCTCCTGGTTACTTTGGCTACAGAACAACCCTTGGCTGTCAAGAAGAAGGTAAGACGACAAAGGGGCATGTACCTTGTTTCCTTCTTACAGTACCTCTGGGTAAAGCCATTTCTGTGCCGGACTAAATGCAAGTATTCCTCAGGGTGCACCCCCTAGACCACCCCATTGCTCTGGGTCCCTTGCCGGCTGGGTCCTGCTGGTCTCCTGGCACTGTGGTTTTGCCTTAATTGCAAGGAAAGCAAGGCTCACAGAGCAGCACCGAAAACCCCTTGGGTGACAGCGCTTGATGCTGCAGATTGTCTGGGAGGAAAGGCGTGGATAGTGGTAGCAGGCATAAAGATCAGAGACTAACCAGCATAGAAGTTGACATTTGGAAGGAGATAATTGCTGTAGCCAGCCCCGCATCCTGCCTCTGGCACTGGCCAACAGCGGAGGCTTTAGAGCAAGATGAAAAACTGGGAGAGCCCCTAGCTAAATGTGCAGCGCTGTCTGTTGGGGTAGGGGGATTCCTCACTGCCTCCCTCCCGCATTGGTATACTCCCTGGAGCATGAGATCTAATTACCCTCGCTTTAGCATGCAATGCTGCGACTGTTTATCGGCTATAGAATTATCTAGCTTCTTCTAAAAATCCAGCCCCAGCGTTTAACACAGTGACCTCCTGCGAGAGGGAATTCTGCAGGGTGAGAGAACTAGCAGCTCTCTCTATTCTTCTTTAACGTACCTGCCATTAGGCCAACGGTGATGTGCTGCCGAAATTTTGACGAGGCGCTCCCACAAACACGTGCGCCCTTAGCCCGTGCTAAAAGTCCTCGACCCAGCGAAAGGAGAGGGAGGAGGGACTGAGGAATCACTGCGCTTTCATGGAAATGCTTCCTCGATGCCCAGGTGGGAGGAAGCCCCTGCCAGAGGAACGCTCTGCAGGAAGCTCCTTGCTCAGAGACTCGTCCTGAGAACGCCTTTGTCTTGGTCCGGCGCTGGGTTTGGGGTGGGAAGGGCGGCTGGGAGTACAGACTCCCTCAGCAACTTCATCTGAAACCCACGTTGGCGACTACAATCCGATTCCTTGCAGAGAGCCTGAATTGAGCCGCGCTGGCACAGCTAGGGATAGGGAGACCCCCCGCAGCAGGACAGGGCCGAGTTCAGCGTCCCCCGCGTTTGCACACAGACTTACTAGAGCCCCCAAGAGCTGCAACCCCCCTTTTCCCAGTAGGACAAAGATTTTACTCGCCACTGCTGGTTCCCGTGGTGTGGAGGGGCGGTTGCGGAGGGCCCGCTCCAGGTCAGGAGCCCGACGGAGGCTGGTGCCTGAGCCCCTTCCTGGACAGAGGCAGCCGGTCGTGGCAGCGAAGTGCAGATAGCTGCGTTCCCCGTCCAGCGCGGAGCGGGGCGCAGAGGCCCAAAGCGTGTTTCTTCCCCCCCCCCTCCTCCCCGCCAGTCCTTTGACCTGCGGTAAAAAGGAGATGGCAACATCCACTAATTGACCAGAGGCAACTCAGTAGTCGTAGAGTAGAAACAAACTGGATCAGGGCAAAAAATTGCTGTCAGTTCTGATGTGTCCAGGAAGAGCGCAGGAAACGTGGCCCACCATTGCTCTCAAAGGAGTCAGTTCAGATCGTCGGCAGGCCCTGAGATGAGCATCCCCCATCCTGCTTCGGCAAAAGCCTTGCCCAAAGGGCAGAATATCAGCCCGGGCGGCTCGCTCAGCTCTTAACGTATCGCTTGCAAGACCCATGTTTGTCAGGCAGGCAAGTGGAAAAATCAGTTTGTTGGCCCCTAATGGCCTCCTCAGTGTCAACCCCATGCCTTCAAAAGCCTAAAAGGCAAGTTCCCAGTTACCCCAATCATCTCAAGGGGGAAGGGCTCTGTTAAGCAATGCCAGACCCTGCTTCACCCCAGCCTGGCCTGGCTCAGCCCGTCCTTGAGACTGGAAGGAGAGAGCTGCAAGGGGAGATGTTTGCCTGGGTTCAGTCCAAGTGGTAGCCACAAGCCCTTATGGGTTACTATTTTAGTGAATGTATCGAGTGTCTGTGAAGAAGATTGGGTAGACATCACCAAGGGAAGCTTACCTGCAGATGGCAAACTGTCCCACAGTGAGCACAGGGCAGGGCTGCTTGCAGGCTTGGCCTGTGGCTGGTCCAAGCGGTCTCACAGCACTGGGAAGGACAGGAGGGCCCCGTCACCAAAGCCAGCAGAGGTCATGCTGCTTTGCATCCCTATCGACCAAGTCTGAGCTCCGCGAAACCAGTGTTTGACTGGTTATAGATTGGTGCAGAAGGGTCTGAGGTACAGAGGTAAAGACGGACCATTCTTCTCACCAGGCTCTCTTCGCCCTGTCCTCGATGCTGAGACACTTCCCCTATGCCCAGCAGCAGTTCCTCAAGCTTGGTGGCCTTCAGGTCCTCAGGAACCTCTTCAGGGAGAAAGGCATGGAGGCCCTCTACATCCGCGTGGTGACGCTCCTCTACGATCTCATCATGGAGAAGGTGAGGAACGAGCCGTGCTGGCGCGAGGCAGGGTGGAGGCACCGCATGCCGGTCTGCACGCTTCCCCCTCCACTGCAGCCAGGGCCCGAGGGGCAGTGGAGCCTCTCTGTGGGAACAGGGCAAGAAGGGCTGGATCCTGCAGTTTGGATCAGGGTGCTGAGCACCTCCCAGCATCTTGGGCACTGCTGCAGAGTGGCTGGGAGCGCCCTGGATTAGCTTGAACCTTGTTTTTTCGTTAAACCAGTGTTGCCGTTTCTACCCTAGGGTGCTTAAAAAAAGAAAAGACGAGGACACGAGTAGGAAAAACAGGAGGTGGACCTGCCGTCAGCTTGGTTTCACCGTCCAGCTGTTGTGAAATGCAGACCGTTAACAAACTGCCTAGAGACAGGTTTCTGTGATCCTGCCTGTTTTAGAGGGCCGTTGCCTATCTGTTAGTCTTACATCGGAGGCAAGCCCGCAGCTTTAGCTGTTGTATTGTAGAATACCTTGGATTACTGCTGTAAATGTCAGCTTAAAAATCCTGTTTCCTCACCACCGTTTGTTATTTAGTTTGTGTGTTTCTCTTACTCCAGAGAATGGGAATTAAATCCACTTTCGCTCTGTTTATGGCCAATTTGTCCTGCAGATTATTGCAGCTGTAATACTTGGATTTCAGGCACTGCAGAGAAATGCCTGTGTTTAAAACAGTTGTTTTGCAGGAGATTTCGTAAAGGTGCGAATTGTTTTGCTTGGTCTGGAATTTTATCAGGTGTTGGCTCTAATATTCAACAAACCTGTTTATCTAGTTGCACCGAAAGGGAATGTGCCTGGGCCTTTTATCGTAACGGTTTCCATTTACTCATGTTCCACGTTTTACTGCTGTACCTCTAGCAGTCCCATCTGTTCCCAGCTCCGTTCTAACTGGAGGCAATCTGCAGACCCTACAGATTCTCGGTTTTATGTTAAAACAATGATTTTTCACTGCCCTTCTGATTGCGAAAGCCACCTCCCAGCGTATAAATCACAGCACACTCTCTTTCTGAGTCTGCACAGAAAATGGGAGAAAGCTCAGTACCTGGGGAGGTGCAGAGCTGCTCCGAATGAGGTCAACGCACTGGGGGGAGGCTGAGTGAAAGTCAAACAGTCTGTTTTTAAAAGCATAAACTAACATCAGACGTGGCTAGAGCCAGCTCTCTGAACTGAAGCACAAAGAGCAGTGCTTTTGAACAGCTTTTTTTGGCCTCGTTCTTTCCCTTTCACCCCAAATACTGCGTAGCCAGTGTGCAAATGAGAGTTTTGCAGGTAGCCTTCCTGGGGGAGCGGGAGAGGGCAGATAGCACCGGCATTATTCCTCCTTTTCTCCCTCTGTCCGGTAAATCAGCAATGCAACATAGTAGGATGAAGCTCCTGGCAGCAACTGCCCAAGGCACCGGCAGAAGGCAGTTGCCAAGCTGAGCTGGGCTCCTAAGTAAAGGTCAGAGAAAATGTCACGGGAGTCCTCAGGGGCCCGAATGGCCCCTGAAGACAGGCGTGTCGATGAGCTGCCTCCTCGCAACAGGCTCCTTGGCACGCTCGCCACCGACTGCCTTCGCTTTGTGCCGCAGCTCCGCGTGTCTGCTCGTCAGCCCTGCCGAAGCCCCGATCTTCCCTTAACGATAACGCCGAAGCAGGCAGGCTGCTGTTATTCAGAGCTAATTAATGAAGCACATACATAGTAATTATCACAGGGGGCCACCAGCCAAGCCGGGAGGAATACTCCGTAAGGGAAGCGGAGCCCATTTAGGGAATTTGACGCTGTCAGCAGCAGCTCCTCCACCTAAGCTGTAAAGGGCGTTTGGCTTTGTGTTCCCTGCGGTGCCGTGGTGGGAGGGTTTTCCTTCCTGGTAAAGACAGCTCCTCACCTTGCCCCAGCAGCACTGCTGGGATCAGGCATTTCTCTCTAGCAAGGGAGCCAGCCAGCACTGAGCAGCCTGGTCCTCGTGGGCCCGTTTGTGCTCTAAGCATCATCCGTACTGCCCCAGTGCAGCAGCGCCCAGCAGCTATGGAGCCAGGGTGAATCATCAAACAACTGCCTGGAAGAAGTGCAATGCCGGGAACTGACTTCACGGCAACTTTTCCTGCATGTCCCCCTCCCCCTGTTTCCTTAATAGAGTGGAAGGGGGCAGATGTTGAATTGCCCAGGATTTGCAGTCGATCGAGTGTGTCTTGCTCCATCGCTGTCAGAGCTCGTCCTTAGACAGCTACCGCGTGGATCAGTGTGTCTGGTTTGGCTTCCTCTCTCTGTGCTCCTTTGTCCTTAATCAATGTAACATGATTTCCCACAGGTGCTGCTTGAGGAATCTCAGAACGGAGATCAAATGGAAGAGAAAATTCAGCAGTACCAGCAAGTCAAGCTGGTGCCAGCAGTGGTTGAGCAGGACTGGTGTGTGATTGTTTCCAACCTGTTGGCCATGCCGGAGCATGACACTCGGGAGAAGGTCCTCAAGACGGTGAGTGTGCTGATGGCCTTCTGCAAGGAGCGCTACCAGGGTGACCAGACCCTTGGCACCACGCTCAGCCTGCTGCGCAGTGAGTACGAAGAGCTGGCAGCAGAGGAACAAAGGGAAGGTGACAAAGATGGCTATTTCAAGGAACTCCTTGGCTCTGTAAATACCATCATTCAGGAATTAAGATCAGAATAGGTGTAATTTCACTTAAATTTCAAGTAACTCCAGACAACAGCATGAATTTTGATGGCACTTGTGTAAATGCACTTTTGAATAAACTGCTGGACTAAATGAGATCTCTCCACCATGCAAGTGTCCCAGTAGCTTCTTGATTAAAGCACAAGTGTTTGGGGGCATATTTTCCTTTGCGTGAAGTTCTTCTGGATAAATAGAGGTACTAAGAGGTATAGAGGTAACATTTCAGCTTACATCACTAATGCAAGTAGTGCCAATGACTGAATTGTTTTCAGTCCATCTGGAGGAACACAGAGATTCACTGGAGTGGGAAGGACAGAGAGATTTGGGACTGTCCTTGTGCAGCTCTGACCTGCCTTTTCTTTTTCCTGGGGCCAATCTGCAGAACCAACTGTAATCTTGTATTTGCTTCTCTATAATGTATCATAGCATTCAAAAAGTGCAGTTTGCTGTATGTTTTGTTTTGCGCTTCTGCTTAACTTGAGATGTGTGGGGAAGACTGAGTGACATATCATTGAAATGCTGGTTGGAGGCACCCTTTGGAGGTCTCCAGTCCAGGCTTCGCTCAGAGCAGGGCTATCCCTCCATCAGGTCAGCATGGTTTTGTGCTGCTGAGTTTTGGCTGCCTCTGAGAAGCTCAGCTCCACCAACCCTCTGTGTGGGTCATGTTTGCTAGGACCCGCTCCGTCATGGCAGCCCTCCTCTGGGCAATCTCCACGTGGAGGCCAGCCAAGTAAGATCGTTCTGGGAGGCAAAGTGTCTATTCAAGCCCTAGTGCGGTACAGCCACGAAACCACTCGTTCCATAACAGATAACCCCCTGGTGAAGCACACTTCACCCTACAAAAAGCCCCACTGATGCTTTCAGCTTCTGTTCTTGTCCTCTTTGTCTTTGGAGACGGGTTCCAAGATGATGTGCTCTACACACGAGTCCTCCGTGCCGCCTTAGAGACTGTCTTTTTGGGAAGATGTTCTGTGCCCTTCTTGTGAGGTTGGTTCTGTCCCTTCGCAGGTAGGCCTTCCTCAGATGAGGCACTGCTATGGAAGAAACCAAAGTCTTGCTCGTGATGCTGGCTGCACAGCTCCTAGGCCTCTCCCTTGCCTGGAAGGACTGAGGACAACATTACCTGTGCCCCTGTCCCCAGGCCTGTCCCCCTTCCCTTGCTGCAGAGCCCTGCAGTCACCCCGAGCTGTTCCGGCTTTGCCCTGTCTATGCCGTTGGCACCCCATGGGCGAGCAGCAAGAAGCAGGAGTGAGGAGGCCAGACGAGCCCTGGCAAAGGCTGCAGCATTTCAGGTCCAGGTGCGCGGCAAATCTTCTGGATGATACATGTGGGTGTCTGTCCAGTGCAGGAGGGAGTCACCAGCTGCTGACGCTTGTCCCTTCCTCTTGGTAGTGCTGGTCTTAATGAGACGACTTGGGGTGTCCAGCCTGACCCCCTTCTCCAACAGTCATGTTCATCCTCCTCTGTCACCAGGGCTCTGAACATGTTCTTGAGATGAGTACCTGGAGGTGGGGTTGAGCCCCCACTTCCTGCTCGGTAGGTGCCTGCCACGGCCAGGCAGAGGGAAGCAGGAGGGGATGCGAGTCCTTCCCTTCCTTCCTGAGGTCTCCTGCTCAGCAGTGATGCTTTCATGCCAGCTGCCGTTTCCTGCTACATGTACTCGGTGCAGGCCTGGAGAGAGGCAGCTGCCCACCCAGCACCTGCGAGGCTGCCTGCTCCAGGGCCCCTCATGCACAGGTCATGGCTGTGCAGAGGCATTTCCACGACCACATGCTGTGGTTGGAGATGGGAGGCCAGCACAAGCCTTTCTGCACGTTCCTGGCTGAAGGGCACTTACTGCAGGGCAAGTTTTGCAGGCGCCTGGGAGCGACAGCCCTGGTGAGATGGTGACAGGAGCCTGGAGATGGCACATTGCCTTCGGGGCCTAATAGTGAAGCATCTGCAGCTTTCCAGCTGCCCACTGCACCTTGCCCACCCTGACCAGAGCCGTCCCCGTGCCAGGGCAGGGCTCACCCGAGCTGATGCCACTACACACGCTCTTGGTGCTTTCACATTGCAGATAAGTGTCCTTTGAAGGCTGGACGAAGGCCACCAATTCCATCTCTGCTGTAGCCACCAGACCTAAGAGGAGAGACCCAACGCTTTATCCTCCAGTTCACCCTGCTTGCCTGTCACGCCCATTTATAATGCATATATTGGGGAAGCCTTGAACACTAGGCTTTTAGTTTTCTCTTGGCACACAGAGGCCTTGATGCCACATGTCGCTGTGCCTGGATCAGCCCTGAAGGCAGCTCCTCCGGTGCTCCCATACCAGCTCATTAGCGCCTGCTCGCGCGGCTGGTGTGTTTGCAGGGCATGCTCCAGCTCCATGGCTGCTCTGTAATCACAGTGGCTCCTGCTGCCTTTCCCCACCGGGACTCCCTAATGATGATATAATAATAATAATAAATAGTTGTATTTCTATGGCAGCCATCTGCCACTGCTTTGCAGAGACAGTGCTAACAGGAGGAACGGAGATGCCCAAGGCCTTCGGCAACAGGAGGGTCTTGCAGCAGCAAGCAAGGGCCCCTGCGCTGGCCCAGCTGCTTTGCCAAAGCCATAAGGTGCAATGGGGAAGGGATGGGTCTGATACCCCTTCGTTGTCCTGCGAGCCGGGAACTGCCCAGCCCATGGTGCAGCGCCCAGCGCTGTAAGCCAGGAGCTTTGACTTGTCCAGATATGGCCCCATCCAGCGACTGGCCTGGGGCATGGGCCTCTCTGCCCTTTAATGACTGCCTTAAAGCCTCGAGGCTCAGTGCAGCCTTGGCGGCCTGATGGTCATCACTGAATTGGGTGGTTTTCTAGCAATTTTTCTACTGAACTCTTTTGGAAGCCCTTTTTTGGAAGGGCATCTTTGCAGGCGGCACGGCCGCTCTTTAGGCACGGGCCCTGGCGCCTCAGCAGCGCATTACTATTCCTACCGAGCAGCAATGGTGCAAGGGTGAGACTCCCGCAGCAGCCTCAAGCCCGGAGCAGAGACGTGGGCTCGGGACTCGTGCCGGCTCGGCGGCCGCGAGTGCTCAGCTGCTAGCCAGGTGTGAGATGTGTGCTAGCATGGCCTGGCATTAGCAGGGAGCTACAGGCAACCGGTACCTACAGGTCCCTCTCTGAGCAGGGACGCACCTATTGCTTTACTGGCTGCGTTTGGTTTCAGCGCGGCTGTGTGGCAAGAGCAGCTGTTTCCATCACGACTACTCCCTCTCTGGGGCGGCGGCAGGCGGTTGATGCGCTAATGTTATGGGTGCAATTGCAAGGAAAAAAAACAAAAAACCCCACACACAAAAACCAAAAAAAAAAACCCTCCCACCTACATGATTTGTTGGCAGGGGAAATGTGATTTAGACCCGTCCCTGATAAAAGGGACAGCCTCCTTCCCGTGGCGAAAGTGCAGCGCACCGACCAGCACGATCCATCGGGCTCCTTCAGGGCCATTAACCCTTCTGGGCGCTAAAATACTTCTGGCTATTTTTTACAGCTTGTCAATTGTCATTGTTAAGAAGTAGGGCTGATGATTATAAATAGTGTGTGTGTGTTTTTTTAAATAGTCTTTTTTGGGGGGATTGGTTTCAGGCTGGGACTTAAAAAGTGGTTGGTTGGTTTTTGCTTTCTTCCTTTTCAGACCTGCGTTTCCCAGCTGGCCCTGGCTGAGTTTTGTTTGGGGGG